CAGTAGCAGGTGCAGCTGCTAATACAGTAGCGGGTCCAGCTGCTAATACAGTAGCGGGTCCAGCTGCTAATACAGTAGCAGGTGCAGCTGCTAATACAGTAGCGGGTGCAGCTGCTAATACAGTAGCAGGTGCAGCTGCTAATACAGTAGCGGGTCCAGCTGCTAATACAGTAGCAGGTACGGCTGCTAATACAGTAGCGGGTGCGGCTGCTAATACAGTAGCAGGAGCAGCTGCTAATACAGTAGCGGGTGCAGCTGCTAATACAGTAGCGGGTGCAGCTGCTAATACAGTAGCGGGTGCGGCTGCTAATACAGTAGCAGGAGCAGCTTCTAATACAGTAGCGGGTGCGGCTGCTAATACAGTAGCGGGTGCGGCTGCTAATACAGTAGCGGGTGCAGCTGCTAATACAGTAGCGGGTCCAGCTGCTAATACAGTAGCGGGTGCGGCTGCTAATACAGTAGCGGGTGCGGCTGCTAATACAGTAGCGGGTCCAGCTGCTAATACAGTAGCGGGTGCAGCTGCTAATACAGTAGCGGGTGCGGCTGCTAATACAGTAGCGGGTGCAGCTGCTAATACAGTAGCAGGTCCAGCTGCTAATACAGTAGCGGGTGCAGCTGCTAATACAGTAGCAGGAGCAGCTGCTAATACAGTAGCAGGTCCAGCTGCTAATACAGTAGCAGGAGCAGCTGCTAATACAGTAGCAGGTGCAGCTGCTAATACAGTAGCAGGTGCAGCTGCTAATACAGTAGTGGGTGCAGCTGCTAATACAGTAGCAGGTCCAGCTGCTAATACAGTAGCAGGTGCAGCTGCTAATACAGTAGCAGGAGCAGCTGCTAATACAGTAGCAGGTCCAGCTGCTAATACAGTAGCGGGTGCAGCTGCTAATACAGTAGCGGGTGCAGCTGCTAATACAGTAGCGGGTGCAGCTGCTAATACATTAGCGGGTGCAGTTGCTAATACAGTAGCGGGTGCAGCTGCTAATACAGTAGCGGGTGCAGGTGCTAATACAGTAGCAGGTGCTAATACAGTAGCAGCTGCTAATACAGTAGCGGGTGCAGCTGCTAATACAGTAGCAGCTGCTAATACAGTAGCAGGTGCAGCTGCTAATGCAGTAGCAGCTGCTAATACAGTAGCGGGTGCAGCTGATAATACAGTAGCGGGTGCAGCCGCTAATACAGTAGCAGGTGTAGCTGCTAATACAGTAGCAGGTGCAGCCGCTAATACAGTAGCAGGTGTAGCTGCTAATACAGTAGCAGGTGCAGCCGCTAATACAGTAGCAGGTCCAGCTGCTAATACAGTAGCAGCTGCTAATACAGTAGCGGGTGCAGCTGCTAATACAGTAGCAGGTGCAGCTGCTAATACAGTAGCGGGTGCAGCTGCTAATACAGTAGCGGGTGCAGCTGCTAATACAGTAGCAGCTGCTAATACAGTAGCGGGTGCAGCTGCTAATACAGTAGCGGGTGCAGCTGCTAATACAGTAGCAGGTCCAGCTGCTAATACAGTAGCGGGTGCAGCTGCTAATACAGTAGCAGGAGCAGCTGCTAATACAGTAGCAGGTCCAGCTGCTAATACAGTAGCGGGTGCAGCTGCTAATACAGTAGCGGGTGCAGCTGCTAATACAGTAGCGGGTGCAGCTGCTAATACATTAGCGGGTGCAGTTGCTAATACAGTAGCGGGTGCAGCTGCTAATACAGTAGCGGGTGCAGGTGCTAATACAGTAGCAGGTGCTAATACAGTAGCAGCTGCTAATACAGTAGCGGGTGCAGCTGCTAATACAGTAGCAGCTGCTAATACAGTAGCAGGTGCAGCTGCTAATGCAGTAGCAGCTGCTAATACAGTAGCGGGTGCAGCTGATAATACAGTAGCGGGTGCAGCCGCTAATACAGTAGCAGGTGAAGCTGCTAATACAGTAGCAGGTGCAGCCGCTAATACAGTAGCAGGTGTAGCTGCTAATACAGTAGCAGGTGCAGCCGCTAATACAGTAGCAGGTCCAGCTGCTAATACAGTAGCAGCTGCTAATACAGTAGCGGGTGCAGCTGCTAATACAGTAGCAGCTGCTAATACAGTAGCAGGTGCAGCTGCTAATACAGTAGCAGGTGCTACTGTATTAGCAGCTGCTAATACAGTAGCAGGTGCAGCTGCTAATACAGTAGCAGCTGCTAATACAGTAGCGGGTGCAGCTGCTATTACAGTAGCAGCTGCTAATACAGTAGCAGGTGCAGCTGCTAATGCAGTAGCAGCTGCTAATACAGTAGCGGGTGCAGCCGCTAATACAGTAGCAGGTGTAGCTGCTAATACAGTAGCAGGTGCAGCCGCTAATACAGTAGCAGATCCAGCTGCTAATACAGTAGCGGGTGCAGCTGCTAATACAGTAGCAGGTGCTAATACAGTAGCGGGTGCAGCTGCTAATACAGTAGCAGCTGCTAATACAGTAGCAGGTGCAGCTGCTAATGCAGTAGCAGCTGCTAATACAGTAGCGGGTGCAGCTGATAATACAGTAGCGGGTGCAGCCGCTAATACAGTAGCAGGTGTAGCTGCTAATACAGTAGCAGGTGCAGCTGCTAATACAGTAGCAGGTGCAGCTGCTAATACAGTAGCGGGTGCAGCTGCTAATACAGTAGCGGGTGCAGCTGCTAATACAGTAGCGGGTGCAGCTGCTAATACAGTAGCAGCTGCTAATACAGTAGCGGGTGCAGCTGCTAATACAGTAGCGGGTGCAGCTGCTAATACAGTAGCAGGTCCAGCTGCTAATACAGTAGCGGGTGCAGCTGCTAATACAGTAGCAGGAGCAGCTGCTAATACAGTAGCAGGTCCAGCTGCTAATACAGTAGCGGGTGCAGCTGCTAATACAGTAGCGGGTGCAGCTGCTAATACAGTAGCGGGTGCAGCTGCTAATACATTAGCGGGTGCAGTTGCTAATACAGTAGCGGGTGCAGCTGCTAATACAGTAGCGGGTGCAGGTGCTAATACAGTAGCAGGTGCTAATACAGTAGCAGCTGCTAATACAGTAGCGGGTGCAGCTGCTAATACAGTAGCAGGTGCTAATACAGTAGCAGGTGAAGCTGCTAATGCAGTAGCAGCTGCTAATACAGTAGCGGGTGCAGCTGATAATACAGTAGCGGGTGCAGCCGCTAATACAGTAGCAGGTGTAGCTGCTAATACAGTAGCAGGTGCAGCCGCTAATACAGTAGCAGGTGTAGCTGCTAATACAGTAGCAGGTGCAGCCGCTAATACAGTAGCAGGTCCAGCTGCTAATACAGTAGCAGCTGCTAATACAGTAGCGGGTGCAGCTGCTAATACAGTAGCAGCTGCTAATACAGTAGCAGGTGCAGCTGCTAATACAGTAGCAGGTGCTACTGTATTAGCAGCTGCTAATACAGTAGCAGGTGCAGCTGCTAATACAGTAGCAGCTGCTAATACAGTAGCGGGTGCAGCTGCTAATACAGTAGCAGCTGCTAATACAGTAGCAGGTGCAGCTGCTAATGCAGTAGCAGCTGCTAATACAGTAGCGGGTGCAGCCGCTAATACAGTAGCAGGTGTAGCTGCTTATACAGTAGCAGGTGCAGCCGCTAATACAGTAGCAGATCCAGCTGCTAATACAGTAGCGGGTGCAGCTGCTAATACAGTAGCAGGTGCTAATACAGTAGCAGGAATAGCTGCTAATACAGTAGCAGGTCCAGCTGCTAATACAGTAGCGGGTGCAGCTGCTAATACAGTAGCAGGTGCTAATACAGTAGCAGGAGCAGCTGCTAATACAGTAGCAGGAGCAGCTGCTAATACAGTAGCGGGTGCAGCTGCTAATACAGTAGCGGGTGCAGCTGCTAATACAGTAGCGGGTGCAGCTGCTAATACAGTAGCAGGTGCAGCTGCTAATGCAGTAGCGGGTGCAGCTGATAATACAGTAGCGGGTGCAGCCGCTAATACAGTAGCAGGTGTAGCCGCTAATACAGTAGCAGGTGCAGCCGCTAATACAGTAGCAGGTCCAGCTGCTAATACAGTAGCAGCTGCTAATACAGTAGCGGGTGCAGCTGCTAATACAGTAGCAGCTGCTAATACAGTAGCAGCTGCTAATACAGTAGCAGCTGCTAATACAGTAGCAGGTGCAGCTGCTAATACAGTAGCAGCTGCTAATACAGTAGCGGGTGCAGCTGCTAATGCAGTAGCAGCTGCTAATACAGTAGCGGGTGCAGCTGATAATACAGTAGTGGGTGCAGCCGCTAATACAGTAGCAGGTGTAGCTGCTAATACAGTAGCAGGTGCAGCCGCTAATACAGTAGCAGGTCCAGCTGCTAATACAGTAGCGGGTCCAGCTGCTAATACGGTAGCGGGTGCAGCTGCTAATACAGTAGCAGGTGCAGCTGCTAATACAGTAGCAGCTTCTAATGCAGTAGCAGCTGCTAATACAGTAGCGGGTGCAGCCGATTATACAGTAGCGGGTGCAGCTGCTAATACAGTAGCAGGTGTAGCCGCTAATACAGTAGCGGGTGTAGCTGCTAATACAGTAGCAGGTGCAGCTGCTAATACGGTAGTGGGTGCAGCTGCTAATACGGTAGCGGGTGTAGCTGCTAATACGGTAGCGGGTGCAGCTGCTAATACAGTAGCAGGTGCAGCTGCTAATACAGGGCTGCATGGTGGCGCAGTGGTTAGCACTGTTGCCTCGCAACACGAAGGTCGCAGGTTCGATACTCGGCTGCGGCCTTTCTGCGTGGAGTTGCGTGTTCTCCCCATGCATGCGTGGGTTTTCTCCGGGTACTCCGGTTTCCCCCACAGATCACAACATGCCCTATAGGTTAAAAAAAATAAAAATTGTAAGTCGCTTTGGGTAAAAGCGTCTGCTAAGCACATAAACAAACAGTAGCAGGTGCAGCTGCTAATACACTGCGCCACCATGCAGCCCTGTATTAGCAGCTGCACCTGCTACTGTATTAGCAGCTGCACCCGCTACTGTATTAGCAGCTGCACCCAGTACCGTATTAGCAGCTGCTAATACAGTAGCAGGTGCAGCTGCTAATACAGTAGCGGGTGCAGCTGCTAATACAGTAGCGGGTGCAGCTGCTAATACAGTAGCAGGTGCAGCTGCTAATACAGTAGCAGGTGCAGCTGCTAATACAGTAGCAGGTGCAGCTGCTAATACAGTAGCAGGTGCAGCTGCATATTTTTGCAATAAAAATGTTATGTTGTAATGGAATTCATGCATTAGTTTTGTTTGCTTTGAACCCAGAGCAGACGTCACACGCCAGACGACATCAACACTGCATAATTTAGTATTTGTTCATTTATCGTGAGTAATATCGATATCGCAATATTAAGCACTGTTATCGGATATCGCAGGTTTTCCTAATATCGTGCAGCCCTAGTAGTCCCTAATAGAGACAACATAGCCCCTGTCTTTGAGATGGGACTGGAACCAGCCCAGCACTGTGCCTGGTAGTCCCACCCAGTGTGAGTCTGTCCAGAAGGATGTCGTGGTCCACAGTATCAAAAGCTGCACTGAGGTCAAGCATCATCAGGACAGGTGCTTCACCTGAATCCGTGTTGAGACGAGTGTCGTTTAATACCTGATCAGTGCCGTCTCTGTGCTGTGGTGCTGTCTACAGCCTGACTGAAGACCGTCCATGATGTTATTTGACTCTAAACAGTTGTTTATTTGGATCAGTACCGCCTTTGCAATGTTTCCATCAGAGGGAGGTTAGAGATGGGTCAGTAGTTGTTCAACACCGAGGATCTAGTTTCACAGCAGCAGTTTTCAGTGGTTTAGGAGAAAGACCTGATGTTAAAGAGCAGTTAACTATCTCCAAGTGGTGCTCGCTGCAGAACCACAAAGGCGGAGCTGCACCAGAAGGTGGAGCTGCACCAGAGTCAGCCCCGCCCATTCCAGAATCAGCCCCGCCCATTCCATCAGAGTCAGTCAATTCCTTCCAGTTGTCAGACTTGATAGCATTCTGGAACCAAAGAGGGTTTTATAGCTAAAAACTGCAAGATTGAGGATGGAGTTGAGAAGTTAATTGAACAGTTTTTGTAAAGGTTCCATATAATTAAAAATCTAACTTTTGGAACTTTTAATCATGTTATATTGTCATTTCCTCATAAGAAACACGCCAAAGCCATTTTTAGCCTCATTCATGCATTTTCCTCCCATCGCAGCTTCAATTTGGTCTCCTCCCCTGAAGCGGGTCTGGTCTTGGTTCTCAAATCTGGATATTCTGTGAATTTTCTGACAAATTAATTCTGAAATGACTTCTACTGAGACACCGCCAATAAACCATACATCCCCATCTCAGAGACACACTGGGCAGCACAATTAGATGTAACGCCGCATGAGTTATAACAGATGTGCTGGTGTGGTGGTTATGGAGTCAGGTTGACGTGCAGTTTTGTGCGGGTTCGCCTCCCATTAGTGTAAGTTTTAGGTAGTGTACAACCTCTTTTCTTCATTTCTAGCTACACTTGCCAGTACTATGTTTACAACAATTTACTGATATACCGTTTAACATATAATGACTAATGTGTTTATTTATTTATTTATTCGTTTATTTAGCCAGTGTGAGTCCATTTGTGAGCAGAGTTTCAACTAAAATGCTGTTTAGGAACGACCAAATTCAAAGAACTTTTAGAGACATAATTATTTTGCTGAAAATAAACATTACAACTAAAATATAAACAAATTAAATGTTTCAGCTGGCTAAATAGATTGCTGACGACCCCACCGAGAATCGAACCAGCATCAGCTGAGGGGAAAGCAAAAGTTAATTTAGGCGATCTCGCCACTAGACTACCAAAGCCAATTCTGCTATGCTACAGCACTTCTGTTAGACCAGCTGTAGGCAGATATTCGCTAAGAGAAACCTTTTCATTTCGAGATATATTCAGTCTTTGCCATGTAGCAAGTTATATTCATCTTGTTTAATTGGAACATAGAACATAGCATTAACGACTGTAAACTAGTAACAGCCGTAATTCATGTGGGTCAGGTCAGTTTGCGATAAAGTTGAAAACAAAAACGGAAGTCAGTGGGTTAGGCTGAGTTTGCGTGAATGGGCGGGGCTGACTCTGGTGCAGCTCCGCCTTTGTGGTTCTGCAGCGAGCACCCTCTCACTATCTCCAGTACCTCAGTTTTCAGGCTACTAAAACATTTTAAAGAAGTTAGTCGGCAGGCTGTCCAGACAGCAGGTAGAGGGTTAGGGTAGGGTAAATGTAGGGTCTTTACTACGCCGTTCAGTGTTTCAGTACCAATCAGGCTGAAAGGTGGCGTTGTGGCCAGGTTGTTGCTGCGTGGCTGTGTCGGTGGTCTGGATGTGTTAGCTGATGTAGAGGAATGAAAGGCAGATCTGATGTTTGTGATTATTTCATTAAAGACAGATGCAAACTCCTCACATCTGGTCTGAGATGAGAAGTGCGGGGCTAACTGTGCTGGGAGGTTAGCTAGCCTCTGGACACACGGGTGCTGTTGATATTATCATTGATGACTCTGATAAAAAGGCGTGTCTTGCCGTTTTATCTCGGTGTTATAAGTACGCAGCTGCATTTGGAAGGTCCGGTCGTGATCTGGTAGGTCTACATTCTGGTTTTTGATCAGTAACAGATCTAGAGAACCTGCATGGAGCTTTCTGTTTGCCTGAAAGGAGTGGGACCTTTTCAGGTGCGATGGCGTCAAGGACTTCAGGTGTTTTGGAGTTGAAGCTGGCTAAGAGTGAGTCAACACAGCTGGATGTCGGACGTGTTGATGAGTTCATCTGTTCGGTGGAAGCTGAAGCAGCGTGGTCACCTATGTTCCTTTTTTGTGAACAACTGTAGTTTGAAGTGCAGCAGGTGAGACTGATGTCTCGGAGAAACACAGAAGGGATCAGGTAGACCCGGCTCGTGTGTTTGAGCATGGACGTTCTGTTTAAGGTCAAACATCTGCTGCTAGCATTATCAAGGTGTGTGTAATCTATGGTGATGACAGAAAGGAGCTGAGTAGAATCGTGTCTGGAAGTTCTAGAAGGCCCGGGTGGTCCACACATGACAAGTGCTGATATCTTAGGTGTACCTTTAACTTCGACGCAAACACAGTAGCTGCTCCATAAACGTTCACAGATAAATGTGTCTCTAAAGATAGAAGCAACACCTCCTCCCCTATCAGGGCGAAGCACGTTCAGTCATGTGACATTTGGGGTGGAGCTTCAATGATAACGGAGTTCTCGAGACATGAAAGTAAATGTCACTGTAGTCGGTCTCCATCTGACAACGCTGTTGACTCTTTACTGTCCTCAGCATCTCCGAGGAACGCTCCCGAGGGCAACACGTTCATTTCTAGTTCATCATGTTACTTCCTCTCCACACGTGGCCGCATCCCTCTTTGCTGCACAATCATATAAGAAAATATTTGTTCTTGCAGATCTAACCGCTCTATTTCTAGAAAGCAAGTCAATAAAGAGCTGTTGCGATATAGTCAACCGTCCCTTTTCCACCGTCGCTCCAATACCTGCACTGCCATGAGGAGCTAGTTGGTTCTGGAGAACCTAGAAGCCAACCTAGCATCCTGCTGAGGACAGCCATCAGGGGCTTTGCTGCTTTATTATCACATTCTTCTCATTTTCAGGAAGTCCGGGACAAGGTGATCAGTCCAGAGAAGGCAGAGGAGGCTAAACTGAAGGCCAGGTACCCAAACCTGGGAAATAAACCTGGAGGCTCTGACTTGCTTCGTAAACGCCTGCAGAAGGGGGTGAGTGTATGACAGGATCACTAAAGGATCGTCTCCACAGAGCTGTAACCTTTTGCTGACATGTGGTTTAAAATGGTCTAACACTCGGGAATGATTTATTAGAACATTTGATGACACTTTGACATAAAGATGAGCAACTCTTCTTATCGCAGAAAACCCAAAGATCAAGTTCAGGACACGAATATCGAGGTGGAAACACTTTGTTTTGACGTTTCCAGTACAGTTGGGCAACGGGACGAATGATTCCACCATCAAAGATGGGCTCAGCTGTTGTGGTTGTTTTTACAAGAGGCTGTTTGTTTGTTTGTTTGTTTGTTTGTTTGTTTGTTTGCCTGTAAGGTTGAGTGTGATCCCCTGTAGTTGGAACACATCCTGCAGCCTCCCTCTTTAGCTTTGGGGACCACCACCCTGGTCTGCCAATCCAGTGGAACTGCCCCTGATGTCCACACAACATTGCGGCGCTGCATCAGCCAACACAACCCTACAACCTCCAGAGCCTTCAGCCTGATTTATTCTTCTCTGTGAGCTCCGCAGCGGAGCGACGCACACGGGGTGTCGGACAGGTTTTCACATTCGATCTTCTGTTTAGGCAGCGGAGTGTTGCTAAGCAATTCCCCGACAGGACAACAGAGGGCGTAGCGTTTTTCTGTGGTTCCTGTCACCCCCATGCATCCGGTCCATGAGGGTACACACTCACCTAAAGGATTAGGAGGACCACCACACTTTCACCTTCAGGACGGCCTTAATTCTACGTGGCGTTGATCCAACAAGGTGCTGAAAGCATCTTTAGAAATGTCGGCCATATTGATAGGACAGCATCTTGCAGCTGATGGAGATGTGTGGGATGCACATCCAGGGCACGAAGCTCCCGTTCCACCACATCCCTTCTGCTGCTGTAGCCCAAGGTTGTGCGTGTTGTGGCTTCACAAACGCTCTGCTGCGTTCCTCGGCGGTAACGAGGGTTAGGCTCTTCTATCAGCTTGAATCAGTCGGCCCGTTCTCCTCGGACCTCCAGCATCAACAAGGCATTTTGGTCCACAGGACTGCTGCATACTGGATGTTTTCCCTTTTCACACCATTCTTTGTAAACCTAGAAGTGGTTGTGGGTGAAAATCCCAGTAACTGAGCAGATGGTGAAATACTCAGACCGGCCCGTCTGGCACCAACAACCACACCACGCTCACAATAGCTTCAATCACCTTTCTTTCTTATGCTGACCTTCAGTTTGGAGTTCAGGAGATGGTCTGGACCAGGACCACACCCCTAGATGCTTTGGAGCAACTGTCCTGTGATTGGTTGGTTAGATAATTGCATTAAGGAGAAGTTGAACAGGTGTTCCTAATAACCCTGCAGGTGAGTGTATTTACTAATGTGTTTATATATTTCAGAGACACGGTCAAATCTGTCCCCCTCCACCTGTTCATGCGACCGCCGCCTCTAAACCTACACTTCCTGTCATTGCCGTCCACGTTTGTTCCGTATGTTGTACTCCTTCGGTCGCGGGTGAATAAACGTCTGTCTGACTTTTTCCACGATGTCTTCTTCCATCTGTTTGGGGTCTGTCGCCAAATATCTGTTAACTTCTTAATGGAGCTACAGCGGTTGGTGACCACTATACAGAAAGCGGCATCCTGGCCAATGAGGAGCTTGCAGTCTTCGTCACTTTTGACGGATGTTTAGAGTTTTGGACACGTCTCCGTCACCCTCTGTGAGCGCGTCTCCGCACCGACGCAGATGGACAAGTACAAGTCAGTCTTCCAGGAGCCCTGGGCAAACCTCATCTGCCCCTGGGGCCTGGCTACCCAGGAGCTTTTTGACCATCTCGGTTGGGGATGTGTTGGAAAAATATAGATTCTCTGATTCTGATTTGATCCTCATAAATATTCATGAGGATCGATTCATACGTCCAAAGATTGATTTAACCTTTTAAGCACCAAAGTCCCAAAATTGCATCAAGTGTTGACTTTAACGAGCCACAGCTGCTAATATGATCCCGCATGGCGTTACCGCTTTACACCAGAAGATAGTGGAGATGTCCATCTTCAGTAGTCTGAGCAACACTTGTGTTTATATTGAAAGTTTCTGAGTTTTAGAGCTTGAAAACCGCCTCCCACCGGGAGGCTTGAGCTCACGGGAGAGGAGGAACGAACGCAGCACACGTAGGGCGAGTATTACAAATGATGACAGGTCTGGTCATTGTTGACTCTGTCTGGTAATGGCTGACTCCGATCTTGGGAGTTGAAGACCCTCTGGACAGGTTCATCTGCCAGGCAAACCCTCACAATACGTTTGGGTCTACCAGGTCTGCACCGCATCTTCCCCCGCCATCTTTAAGTGTCCTAAACACACTCGGGTCAGCTGATGAGTCGATCATTGACCTGTAACCGGGGCTGCCCGGGTACCAGGTATGCTGATGGCATCCTTATGTATGCACATGGTGTTTGTTAGGGCCAGACTGTCATTTGCGCAGAAGTCCAATAACAGAACACCACTCGAGCCGTTCCTCCCGATCACGCCACTCCAGGTTACGCCATCATTGCCAACGTGAGTAGAAGTACCCCAGCAGGACTATGGAGTCCCCAGTCGGAGCACCATCTAGTACTCGTGCCAGGGACTCCAGAAAGGGTGGGTACTCTGAACTATTATTGGGTGCATAAGCACAAACAATAGCCAGGACCAGTTTCTCGACCCGAAGGCGCAGGGAAGCTACTCTCTCGTCACCTGAAGAAAACATAGGCCGAAAGTTTTGGAGCTAACAGAAAGCCCTCCGCCTCTCACCCTGGGGTACTCTGGCTCTCTGATCTCACTTCCATGAAGAGTCTTCTGAACCGCACTTTCTCACCCTCACCTAGGACCAGTTTGCCATGAGTGACCCTACCAGGGGCACAAAGTGCCCCAGACAGCATAGCCCCTAGGACCCTGAGGGCACTCAGACTCCTCCACCATGATAAGGTGGCGGTTCGAGGAGACCAGCAAACATGCGCTCCTCTTCCATAAAAAAGATCTGTGTTTGAACTTCTTCTGTCCGTGCATCATGACATCACATGCATGGATTCGCTGGACTGATGACTGGCGGTGGGGAACATGTGGTTTTAGGCAGACACGGTTCCTTTTTTCTTCAGAAAACATTTAGAAACTAGATTTTACTGTTTATTCATCCTTCCTTACTGACTTAGGCTGTGTAAGCTGGAGCGAGGTCACACACACACACACGTCTCAGGTATATCACATCCTCATAAAGCAGCGTTATGATGCCAGAGCCAGTTGTAGCCTCATTAAATGTGTTTTATTATCAGTGCTTCTGAATTGCTTTACTTTGATCTCTCTGCAGCAAAAATACTTCGACTCTGGTGACTACAACATGGCCAAAGCAAAGATAACGAACAAGCAGCTGCCAGCAGCGGCACCGGAGAAGACGGAGATCACAGGAGACCACATCCCCACCCCACAGGACCTGCCCCAAAGAAAACCCTCCCTGGTGGCCAGTAAACTGGCCGTCTCGTCCACATGAAGCACCAGGAGCCCTGCAGCATAACCCACTCCTCATGTCTGAGCCGCAACCCCACCCAGAGTGTGTGAGTGTGTGTGTGTGTGTGTGTGTGTGTGTGTGTGTGTGTGTCAGGCTTCAGCTTTTACTACATTTCACATCGGATTAGTGGATCAGGCCCGTTCTGCTGAACCCTAGCGGGGTGGGAGAAGCACTAATCTGGAGGCGGGGCCAGCTGTAGTCTTCTTTTCTGATGATTAACTCTTTAATTCATTGACGATGTGCAGATATTAAAGTCCTGAGATGCTGTGTAACGGGCAGGTTTCCTCTACCACAGGTGCTGCTGCAGACTGTGGTACCACCGTTAGTCTCCTGAGTGGTGCTGTTTGTGCACCGGGGCAGGGGAGGTTGCTAGTGGGGGGACCAGCCCGCGTGTCCGAGTACAACTACCATTAAAGGAAAGAGTGGTGTAAACCTGTGTAATTATGGGTTTAATCCTAAAAATGCTTTTAAAGGGTCTTTGTGACAGGACTGGAGGAGCCAGCTGTGCATGTGCATGGCCACACCGCTGTCGTAACGTGCCATTTGGTCTGTAAATAAACTAGTTTTGCACAAATGTTTATTTTACCTGTGTTGATGTTGGATTTCTGGCATTATAATGGAAATATTAGCTCCTCATTTACACAGCTGGGCTGTTACCTCCGCTGTTTCTGACTGGAAGCAGATGTGAAACCTGCAGGACAGTCGGAGAAGTAATGTCTACAAAAAGACCTCGTGTGTACGTTAGGGTCCATTTCTTTTAGATTTCTTAGCTAAACAAGTCGAGTCATTGCTCTAGCCCTCGAATTCATTTCTTGTTTTCTAGGTCATTCGTCTATAGAAACAAGAAAAATGGTTTGTATTTAAATGATAAATGACCCGCTCTTCAACAGCGCCTCTCAGAGTAAGGACTCCAAAGCGCTTTACACTACAGTGTATTCATCCATTCACACACTGGTGATGATGAGCTATGATGTAGCCACAGCTGCCCTGAGGCACACCGACAGGCGAGGCTGCCGAGCACAGGCGCCACCGGTCGCTCCGACCACCACCAGCAGGCAAGCTGGTTTAAGCGTCTTGCCAAAGGGCACAACAGCAGGCTGACACAAGTTGTGTGTTGTAAAATTATGAAGAAACATGGAATTGTTAAATTCCTTCTGTCCGTGCCAAGAAAGCCCATCCGACGCGCTCCGAACTAACGGGAATGATGCTAGTGGTTCCTACCGAATCACTGGTGACATGAAGGGTTTTGGTGGCAGCCTATCCCTCATCTCCCGTTACGGATGTACGCCGATCATCGGCGGGCATTTCTGACTCCAAATAGCACCAAAGAGTTCTGGGTGGGTAAATGATCGTATTGCATGTTGGGTCCATTTCAGGAGCTAACAATGGGCGTAATTTCAGTCCGTAGTGTCACCTTGATCCCACTCTGACCGCTAAGGAGGAGGTCTGGGAAAAAATGAGTTGCCTCGCAACTGAAAACGCTGATCTGACCCGTGTGCAGGACCAAATAATGGACCGAACCGACGCTAAAGCGTAAGCGCCAAAAGCCAGAAGAAGAAGAAAATATCATTTCTATAGTGCCTCTCAAGATAAAAATCACGAGGCGCTTCACAAAAACTAAAAATATAAAAAAGTATTTCGAAAATGATTAAAAATATATTTAAAATGAGCAAAAATAGACAATTGTGATTTAAAAACATGTTAAGAAAGAGAGTGAACAGGAAAGAGGGAAACCAGTGGATCCTGAGGAAGGTGGAATAGGTGGGGAGAGCAGAATAAAGAGAGAGAGGTGAAGAAGGTCATACAAAAGCCAGCTTGAACAAGTGAGTCTTCAGCTGCTTTTTAAAGGAGACCACTGAGTCCACTGATCTCAGGCTCAGGGGGAGAGAGGTCCAGAGTCTGGGGGCCACAGCAGCAGATGATCTGTCACCTTTGACCTTTAGCCTGGTGCTGCACAACCAGTAGGCTTTGGTCACTGGACCTCAGGGACCTGCTGGGGGTGTAGGGACTAAGAAGATCACCAATGTAAGATGGTGCTTGTCCATGTAAGGCCCTATAGACCAGAACCAGGATCTTGAAATGAACCCTGAAGTTGACTTAGACATCTCATGGGGCTTAAAGGAGATGTACAGTTGGATGTCATCTGCATAAAGATGGTAGGAGATTCCTTTGAAGCAGCTCAGGATGTGCTGAAGAGGAAGCAGATAGAGGAGGAAGAGCAGAGGCCCCAGCACAGAACCTTGTGGGACACCATGGGTAAGAGAGGTGGTGGAGGACCTAAACTTGGAGACGGCCACAGAAAAGGAGCGCTCAGAGAGATAAGAGGAGAACCACTCCAGAGCAGATCCTGATAGGTCTACCCAGTCTCTCAGCCTCTCCAGTAGCAGGTGATGGTCAACAGTGTCAAAGGCTGCAGTCAGGTCCAGCAGGACCAGAACAGAACAGTCCCCTGCATCACTGTGAGTCAGAAGGTCATTAGAGACCCTAAGAAGAGCTGTTTCAGTAGAATGAGCTCTACGAAAACCTGACTGGAAGCTATCATAGATGTTATGTTCATCAAGAGCAGCTGTGAGTTGTTTAGCCACAACCTTTTCCAAGATCTTGGAGATGAACGGAGGTTTAGAGATGGGTCTGAAGCTGCTATGGAGAGGGGTCGAGACTCGGTTTTTTAAGAAGCGGGTGGATTACAGCGTTCTTAAAGTAAGCAGGGACCTGACCAGAAACCAGAGAAGCATTAATTATAGAGAGCACGCTGGGACCGATGGACTGAAAAGCACTTTTAAACAAAGATGAGGGTAAGATGTGGAGGGGGCATGCAGAGGTCTTCATAGAGTTAACTAGTTTGGTTAACTCAGGCAAAGAAACAGGAGCAAAGCTATCTAGGATGATGGGCCTGGTTGGAGTCGGGAGAGGCGGCGATAAGGCTGAAGGAGAGATGCTAGATCTAACCTTATTGACTTTGTCCACAAAGAAAGACAGAAAGTTCTCACAGTCTGCAACAGAGTGGATGGAGGCTGTAGGAGAGGCAGGAGAGACGATGCTGCTGATGGTGTTAAACAGCACCTTGGGGTTCCCTTTGCTCTGGGACACCAGGTTGGAGAAATAGGAAACCCTAGCGTCTCTGACTGCAGAGTTAAAGGATGTCAGAAGATCCTTTAGGTGCAGCAGATGGACGTGGAGATGGGTTTTCTTCCACAAACGCTCAATTTTTCTGCATTGGCGCTTCAGGCTGCGAAGGCTGTCCTTATACCAGGGAGTAGGGTTCACTGCAGGAACTGATCTGGTTCTGACAGGACAGATGTTGTCCAGAATGGAGAGGCAGTGCTCGTTAAACTGAGAAGTTAAGGAATCTGGGTCGTTATCAGAAGAACAGGGTGGATCAGAAGCAGCAGAACATTAGCTAGCTGTGCTCTCATTAAGAAAACGAGAACTAACCATACGGCGAGCAGGAGGTGGGGACGCAGAAACTGACAAGTTAAAGAAAATGCAACGGTGATCTGAAATATAAACGTCCTCAGAACAAACACTGTCAGCATTTAGACTCAGGGTAAAAACAAGGTCTAGAGTGCGCCAGCTCTTCTGCCCGTTGATGTGGCTGCCACATGTTAGTCTATTCTTCTGGAGGACCTTGGCCTTGCAGGCACATCAACGGGCAGAAGAGCTGGCTGTTGGCGCTGACGCATTAGCATTGGTTCGGTCACGCACGTGGGTCAGATTTGTGTTAGCCACATTTATTAAAATAATCTTTTTGTCTCAATATATTCCTCCTTTTATGAGTTAATTACATTATATAATGAAGGTTTTATCTAAAGTGATTTAACGTCCTGATTGCTTTACAGTAATGACGCTTTATTCTTGAAATGCCTTGTTTCACATCTGAAATACACCAAATGAGAACTTGATGATTTAATGCTTTATTATCAATTATGAGAAAGAAATTCTTGATAATTAAATAATTTCCTTCCTTATTAAAGAGCTGATTGATCTTTATGCCATTCCTAAACCAATGGATTCCCCTTTGTAACAGACATCTTTATTGTTTCATATAAAGTCATTATTAGGCGAAAAATTATGCTTAGATAGGAGAGACCACACCAATAGCGTTTGTTTATGAGACTTTGAGAGAAAGGTACACGATCAATATTGTAGTTAAACATTAAGAGAAAATTTCGACCATCCAGACTAGAAATAAATGATGGGAGATGAAATCCCAAATAGACGTAGGATCTTTTGTTTAATCCAATTAATTTTGAATGTGTTGTTTAAAATACTAAAATCAAAGAAAGTTAGTCCACCATTTTTATAATTATTCATGAGGACTGATTTTTTAAATGTAAGTTTTGTTTTAAACACATTTCTAAAGCATCTGATCCGTTTCTTTGGTGACTTTTTTATCAACGTCTAAAGAAACGGCAGCACGTGTAAGTCTGGAGACCAGGATCTACCATCTAGTGGAAGGTCCCTTTGGAGCCACTGGTTAGTTATGTTTTTGGTTCTTTCTGATGTTGGGGTAAAGTTCAGCTCACATCTGTCTGTTTGGTTTTGTGTTACAACTATTCCTACGTACATCTCTTCTTTAACTGGAATGTTGCAGATGGAAGGAAGCTTCTTCACCGCCATTAGTTCACATTTATTTACATTCAAACAAAGGCCCGAAGCTTTGGAGATGACCTGAATAACATCAAGTGCAGAGGAAATTTGAGATGAGTCACGTGAGAAAAGGGTCGTGTCATTGGCCAGTTGACCAATAATGACTTCTGTAATAACCCAAATGGGATTTTAGTTTTAAAATGTTCATTATTTTTTATGCTTTTATTGTGAAATGTCCTGTAGATCTAGCACTTACAACTTTGGTAACTTAGACCTTCTCAACAACGAACGAACACGTTTCAGTCAAGTTTAACAGACCAGACTTCAGGCTGGTTTTGCTGTCCATGTCACAGTTTAAAAACCTGATGGTCTTGTTTTGAAGACCGCCATGGTTTTGTCAGCCTCTTTGTTTATTCTGGATTAAGTCCTGCAAGAAATCCAAACCACTTCTTTTCAAATGTTGAACAGAAGCGATGGTCGCTGGCTGGGTCAGGACAAGACTAAACTTGTGTTGCTGTGGCTGCTCCAGTGGGAGCTGGTGTGGCTGTAGCTGCAGAGGACCAACACAAGACTCATTAGATTATCTCATCTTTGAATCAGTATAAACTCTTCGTTGCTGTACCTGTCATTCAGTGCTCAGATATGAAAATAGGAGGACGAGCCTTCTCAATCTGTGCGCCTCGTCTCTGGAACCAACTCCCTCTAGCAGTGAGAATGACCCCCTCCCTCTCTGATGTTAAATCACACCTGAAGGCCCATTTTTTATTTCTTGGCTTTTGCTTCAGCCTAGATGTTTTTGTTTTATTGTTATTGTTTTATAGCAGGTACTTATTACTTCTTCCCGTGTGTTGATGTTTGTGCTCTTTTACTGTGCAGCACCTGGGTTGGCCTCGGCCGTGTACAAATGTGCTTTATAAATAAAATGGAATGGAAAATAAACACTTAGTCATAAAAACGTAATCTTTCAATTAAGAGCAACTCTAGAATTAATCCGCAGTTTGGCAAACCACAGTTTTGCTGTGCTAAGGGAACTTGTTGCAGGATGGCAGGAAACGTTAGCAGCTTGTTTCACCTTTTGAAGATCAACTACAGAAGCATTTGTCAAACAAAAACGTGTGAATAACATTTCTAAACTACACTTAAATGCAGATTAAACAGCATTTATAGTCTCTGATGTAGCCCGTGGGGCGGCGCCCAGCGCCCCCTATGGACGAGCCGCATGCAGTCACCTGCACGTGCCAATCTTGACCACCAGGGGGCGCTGACTAGCCGGCGACAGCAGCGCCGGTTTCATCCTTCATCTTCCCAGAATGCAAAGTGAGCCTCTGAAATCTCAGCTGGACGTTTGCGGCTGTAATTGGAGGTAGGGAGCCACGCACACTCTCTGTGACTTCCCGCACCAGCGAAGGATTTGATGAGGCCGGTGCGGTGCGGTGCGGAGCGGAGCGGAGCCCTGCTGCCTGAGTCCTAGCTCACATCGGGGGGAGGACGTCGCGAGAGTCCGTCATGGCAGCGTCGGAGCTGTACACCAAGGTAAAGCACGTCCACCGTTCACTTCTACTGTTATGATGGTCGGGGCTCACTGTCGTTTGGAGGCTAAATTTAGCTTCATTTGCCCCAGAGTTCCTCCAAATAACCGGATATGACGACACCGCGCTGAAACGCTGAGCTTTTGTTAGGCGTCGTTGAAGGAACCTGGTTTACCTTAGGAAGGTTTACCTAGGTGTTGGTACCGCTGCTGTTAGCAGCCGAGACCACACACACACACACACACACACACACACACACACACACACACACACACACACACACACACACCACGGATGATGCGAAGGCGGCGCCAGCCATCATGGACGCGCTGCTGCTACATCACTATTTGGTTTCGTCTCCAATCTGCACACGACTTTTTAATGACGTCATGTGTCTTGTGGCTGTCGGCATGAGTGGGCATGCTGCACCTTCCATCCGGGTAGTTTAGAGGAGCTCTGCCATGGACACACCTGTTAAAACAGCAAGGTCACGTGCTGCTGATGCTGCTGCTGAACGGGAGGCAGGGATGAAGGCTGGTGCGCTGGAGGCGGAGGAGGATGACTCACCCATCCCCCTACTCTGACAGCTGGTGTGCTCAGCTTGGGAAATGGTGGTGATGAAGAAGGGGAACTGTGATGAAGCCTCTAAACTAAATCGGACTAGAGGTTGGATTAGTGTGGGCGTTTTTGTGGGCACTGGACCAGCTTACCACATATGTGTGATGAAGTTATTCCTAAAACTCAGCGCCTCATGGAGAACCACAGATGGGTTCTTCATGCAAACCCAGATTTTTGTGGCGGGTGAGCGACTCCTCCTGGATGGGACACGTTTTTAGTTCAAAGGTTGTCAGCTGAGATCTTTTCTCCTGACTTTGTGCCTCCGCCTCCTTACGGTTTGAACCCTCCCCCCACTGACGGTTGGCTAGGGTTTCCCTCCTGAGACCCTGACTTGTGATCGGTGGGATTTAAAAGAAAAAACAATTCTAGCTATCACAGATGAGTCAACTCTCATAGATGTCGACAAACATTACTTGGATAAAAACATGAATAACATTTCATAACCGTAGCTCCTCCCCACCAGCACGTGAATGGATGAATGACTGGTTGTGTTGTGAAGCGCCTTGGGGGGTTGTAAACCCTAAGAAGTTGCTATACTTAACCACATGTGCACACCTGGTCTGGTCTCAGGAGGTTAAAACCTCCAGTTGGAAAACCAGATGTAGTTCCTGTTTTTTCTTAAGCTCTTTTTCTGCAGGAACTGGGCTTAAATGTCTTTTTTATGCCGCAGTGGCTCGTGAGTGTTAGGGTGCTTGTGCCAGCGTGGCTGACGGGAAGCCTGAAGGTATGTAGTGTTTCTCTGAGTGCCCTACCTGTGATGTCAGAGCTGGTTCTGTGTGCCTTACACCACAGCACCTAATTAGAAAACACTGCCTCCTGTGTGATGAGTCCAGCCTACAGAAGACTACCGTGCTTGGGTCCGACCAGCAGCTGCTCTGTGGGTGCAGAACAAGGAAGGACCAAACACCTACAGGTGAAGGAAGCCTTTGTGGCCAAGAGGAGATTATGTGAATGGAAATGAGCTGCAGCCTGAGAAAGTGACTCGGGTTCACATCCCGGTCAGGTCATACCAAAGACCTTAACAATGGGACGCCGTGCCTTTCTGCTTGATGCTCCACTTAAAGGGGTTGGATCGGGGGTAAGACCACCAAAGAGTTCCCAAGTGCAGCCACAGCTGCAGCTCACCACTCCCCACCGGGATGGGTCACATGTGGAGATGAATTTCACCAGTGTGTGATGACTAGTGAACACATTTTACTGGTGCACAATGTGGTGATCTAGGTTCTGTGGAAGAAAATGGAGAAACCAGCAACAACACAAACCACTGTTGAAGGCAAAAATGCTCCAAAGTTTAAGAGTCAAACTGCCGGAGTCCAACCCTCACCGGGAACAGGTCCGACTTACTACCGGCTACGCGGACCAAACTCACGCTCCTCTGGTAAAGGGACTGAATGGCCCTTAACAAAAGCCCACCCACCCCATACTCCTGGAGCGTCCCCCACAGGGTGCCCCTGGGGACACGGTCATAAGCCTTCTCCAAATCCACAAAGCACATGTGGATTGGTTGGGCAAACTCCCATGCCCCCTCCATCACCCTTGCAAGGGGATAGAGCTGGTCCACAGCTCCACGGCCAGGACGAAAACCACATTGCTCCTCCTCTATCTGAGATTCAGCTATCGATCGGACCCTCCTCTCCAGTACCTTGGAGTAGACCTTTCCAGGGAGGCTGAGGAGTGTGATCACCCCTAAGTGCCCCAGACAACATAGCTCCTAGGATCATTAGGGCACTCAAACTCCTCCACCACGATAAGGTGACGGTTCAAGGAAGAGTAAAATGTTGATATAACATCAAACAAGAAACAGGTTGACAGTAACGTTTATATCAATATAACCATACAACCTCTGTATTTCTAGGGTTAGCAGGCAAAGCTAATGCTAGCTAATAGCTTGGGCCAAAGCAGTCGTTATTCTCACACATCTGGTCAGTCAGGAAACCTCTGGGTCAATGTTCTGCCCTAAATTTTGCGTTTGGCTTCATTGGGGACGTTCGTTCGTGTTTCAGGCAGCGAGCCTTTTCACCGTGGCTCCCGTCCCGACACTTGTGCCGAGAGACCAGCCAAACCCCTCCTCGTGTAATCAGGAAGCAGCTACGGAGATCCAGAGTGGCCACATTACCTCAGACATATCGTAATGTCAGAATGGTGAACATTAGGGCTAGTGTTTTTACTAAGCGGGGAGGAGAAATTGTTCCGGTTCTTGCTGCTTTGCTATGCTAGGAAATGCTCCGTTACGAGTGATTTTGTTGAAAAAGTAGAATTTGCAAGGCGTGGGTTACGGCCGACAGTAGCCTGAAAAAAAATACCCATAACAGAGCAACCAGAGAGTCTCAGTCATTACAATACGATCACTGATGAGTCAATTCTGTCAGCTTTCAGCCATGTCAGCCCTAATCTCCCATTGGTCCACAGACCCGTGGGAGTGTGATCCTCAGTGGATGGAATTACATCATGACTAGTTTAACTTGATGTATAATTCCTGGTGATATAAATGATGGGGTGTGCGCCACAGTGGCGCAGGAGTTAAGTGCTCGCCTCGTAATCGGAAGGTTGCAGGTTCGAGTCCCACTCAGTGTGTCGCTGTCATTGTGTCCTTGGGCAAGACACTTAACGCACCTTGCCTGCTGGTGGTGGTCGGAGGGACCAGTGGCGCCAGTGCTCGGCAGCCTCGCCTCTGTCAGTGCGCCCCAGGGCAGCTGTGGCTACATGGTAGCTCATCCCCACCAGTGTGTGAATGTGTGTGTGAATGGGTGAATGAGTGATTGTGTTGTAAAGCGCCTTGGGGGGTTCCAGGACTCTAGAAGGCTCTATATCAAGTACAGGCCATTTACCATTCACCTCTAGATGTCATTTAAATGATTTTACATCAATTATAAATATAAAAGTGGGACATTGGAGACATTCTTAGACAAATAGATTATTACAGACTCAAGGTGAAAACACACAGATATGAACCTACATGTGTTAACGGACAGCTGTACCAGTGCTGCTAACGCTCAGATGGACAGAGAATGGCACCAAGGTTAAAACTACTAAAGCTAACTAAAACAAACCAAAAATCTTTGTTGTTTGACGGATAAATGCGGTTTTTGTGTGCATTTGTTAATTAGTTGTTGTTGTTGTTGTTTTAAGCTGAATTGAGCACCGGGTTCAGAACTAAAGTAAAGTACTATACCTACACTTACTTTTAATCCGTTTTAAATTAAAAGGTCGTTGTTGCGCTGACATAGTAGTTGTTAGTCAGTAAGTGCAGCAAATGCTAACAGGCTAGCTTCTAGACGAGTGAGATAACCTGGTTAAAGTGTTGCTGCAGTCATCCTGGATTAGCCCCGGTCCAACCATGGCCCGGTTCTACCCTGGCCCCGGTCCTACCCTGGCCCCGGTCCAACCCTGGCCCTGGTTCTACCCTGGCCCCGGTCCAACCCTGGCCCCGGTTCTACTCTGGTCCCGGTCCTACCCTGGCCCTGGTCCAACCCTGGCCTCGGTCCAACCCTGGCCCGGGTCCTACCCTGGCCCTGGTCTAACCCTGGCCCTTGTCCAACCCTGGCCTCGGTCCAACCCTGGCCCGGGTCCTACCCTGGTTCGGGTCCTACCCTGTCCCGGGTCCTACCCTGGCCTCGGTCTAACCCTGGCCCGGATCCTACCCTGGCCCGGGTCCTACCCTGGCCCGGGTCCTACCCTGGCCCTGGTCTAACCCTGGCCCTGGTCTAACCCTGGCCCTTGTCCAACCCTGGCCTCGGTCCAACCCTGGCCCGGGTCCTACCCTGGTCCTGGTCCAACCCTGGTCCTGGTCCTACCCTGGTTCGGGTCCTACCCTGTCCCTGGTCTAACCCTGGCCCGGATCCTACCCTGGCCCGGGTCCTACCCTGGCCCGGGTCCTACCCTGGCCCTGGTCCTACCCTGGCCCTTGTCCAACCCTGGCCCTGGTCTAACCCTGGCCCTGGTCTAACCCTGGCCCTGGTAGCGGATGGCCGTTGCTGTTGCTCTTTTATCATATTTTTAAACTCATTTGGGAGTTTTCTGTGCATCTGTGAGCGTCCTGCTGCCGTTTGAAGGCTACTGAGACTGTTTCTGGACTTGGAGAGTTTTGTTGGCCTCACCACTCATGTGATCGACGAAGCAGCCGGGGTGTTTGTTGACAGACAGACTTAAGGCCCAGTCATGTGTTGTAGGAGCTGTGAGGAAGGTTTGTGAACGCTGCCTGTGTCTGCAGACACAATGAGATGGTTCTGCTCCGGAGATCCTTGCTGGATCAGTGAATGTCCGGTCTTGTGGTGTGTGGCTGGAGGCATCCAGAACAACCAGCAGACTCACAGGATGAGCTGGAGCTTGTTCTGAAGACAAGATGAACCGGGAGTTGGAGTATATGTTTGTTCAAGTGAGTCTTTCTTTCGTTTGACATCCACTGACTTCAGATCATGTGGGTTAGGTTAAACCATGAACTGTTGTCGGGTTTTGGCCGTTAACTTCAGCGATGCGGCGAGTTACTGGTTCAGCTGTACTTATTCAGGCGTGAGTGTAGTTCATCTGCTCCAGTCTGGCACAACCAGGAACCACTTTCTGTATCTGAGTAACTTGATGTCGTTAAATCACATCTCAGAAGCTGGTGCGGACTTTTGTGTAGTCGCGTGAACACTTCCCACTCAGAGGCTCAAAGGAAAACTAGTTTTGTCGTTGAAGAATAATTCTGCTGGTTTTTCATGGCAGAACTCGTCTAATTCAGGGGTTTTGTTGTAATTTAGGCCGAGGTAAGAAGTTTGAAAGCAGCTTCTGTTGTGTTTGCTAACTGATCAGATGAAGCTGGTCTGATGCTGTTGAGGAACACAAGGACATTTCTGAGCTTATTTTCCTGCTTCTGTCAGTGCTCCTCAGGGTGCGTTAGTAGGTGAATGAATGATTGTCTTGTAAAGTACCCCGAGGGCTCCTATAACTCTAGAAGGTGCTGTGTAAGTACGAGAGAAGAGAACACTAATGTGGTTAGTCGGCCTGCTTCTGGCTGTTGTAGTTTCTAACTCTCTAGTGACATGTTCTCGGCATCGCCCAGCTGAGCAGAAAAACAGCAGATCCTCACATGAGTGGCATCATGTGACGCAGCCTCTGCGGTGAGGACCTCACTGAGAACGTTCACACAAACCTCTGTGGCTGTCTGGATGCTGGCCTCTGGCCACGCCGCACTGGCGTCAGAAAATCTCTGAAGGTTTTCATCATGGCCTCTGCCAGCGCACCCCAGGGCAGCTGTGGCTGCATCGTAGCTCATCTCCACCAGTGTGTGAATGGGTGAATGATACACTGTAGTGTAAAGCGCTCTGGAGTCCTGACTCTGAGAGGAACTGAAAACGGGACTTGTCCGAATGGGCCTGTTTGTTAGCTTTAATGTCTTTGAGCAGCTTCAGAGTCAAGTACTGATGTCACAGACATAAATACCAGGACCAAATCAAATGACTGGCGTCGGTTCCTACTTTGAACCCAGCGGTCTCATTTCAGAACCAGAAAACACTAAAAGGTTTTACTTGTGCTGATGGTAAAAACTCCGGCTGAGTCAGGATCTCCTCCGCTAACAAGCTAACTACAACCCGTGTCTTTGTAACGTCTGGACTTTATTCTCATGTCCATGGTGTTTGTGGAGGAGTTCACAAAGTCCCAACTGTTGGCGCCAAGCTGTGAGAACTCCAGAAGGGTGGCGCGCTGTACGCCAACATTTCTGTGAGTGAGACTGTACGAAATCTCGCTCCAGCAGGTCTGGGTTAGGTCTGGGTGCTGAGCGACGCCGAGCCGCACGGCGGAGCCCCGGTCCCGGGGCTGAGGGCCGCCGACGCCGGGGCTGATACCGGGATGCTCGGAGGTTATAAATACTGAGTATCTGAACACTCCTCACGTGTTGGCAGACGTAACAGAAGGCATGAGCACACACACACACAATACTAACTAATCACTGCTAGCGTTGATGCTAGTTAGCTGTGAGCGCCATGGGTAACACGATGGTTCTTACCTGTCCAGGAGAACTCTGCAGCCCTCCTGAAGCTGATTTGGTCCAAACATCTCCGCCTTTGAGAATAGTTTCTGTTGTTTAGCTTCGTTTTATTACTGCTGTTGTTCTTCAGTCTTTGGGAAGGATGGAGGCTTCTTATGGTTATAAGAAAATCCTGCTGTACCGCCCCGTGTGCTGGCTTCGGTTCTCTCCACAACGGTTTCAGCTAACAGGAGGAAAAAAGGCTCCTCATGGCTGGAGATAGCTGCTGATGGAGAGTGGAGCCCTATAACAAATGCAGAACAGCGGTGGTGCTGGAGACGAGGCAACCAGGAGGTAACACGCCAGGCTCAAACATGATTGGCTCTGAGACCAGGAAGAAGGAGAGGGCCGCTGCTTGTTAACGGAAAGGCCGTCACGGCCCGGCCGGTTTTGCAAACAGAAGACCTGGCGTTCCCCGGCCAGCTGAAAAGGAGATCTTGTAACCTCCCTGTGATGAGATCGAATCATTGGACTGTTTCGTGGTTATCTTACATAGTTCACCTTTAAATGTCTTAGAAAATTGTGATGTCTGGGTTGTAAAATAAGCCTGACTGTGGTTTAACAAGCTACCGATCACTCCACAAACCCGTCCCACGCCGGTGTGCAGCGGTGATGACATTTGTCTTCAGAGGCGTCTTGTGATGTGGATGATGGTCAAGTTCAGAGAGATTTATCATCGACTCCTCGATCTCTGCACGGCCCTGAAATGATCCCAAACTCCCTCCCATTTTTTCTTTAAGTTGGCTTCAACACCAACATATAATCATGAAACGAAATAATAAAGCGTAACAAGAACTTTTACGGAAAACCAGCAGCACAATGTCCTTTATTTGTCTTTGATTGTTCCCTCGCTCCTGTAACCTTCTGTCCCTAAATCAGAGACAGACGTTGAGATCCTGCAGCCATCCACCCCCGTCGTGTTTCCAAACTGTAGAAACGAGTGAGCACCGGTCCGTAGACACGGGGCTTTCATTTCAGCAGACCAGCAACCCCACAACCACGTCATCACGCAGCGGCGTAACCACTACGGAGCTCACACTGGGTTGGCTAACCCTAACGGACGCCACAGCTCGCCTTCTCTCTCTAGAACATTTAAGGCAGCTTCTAACGGCCTTTAACCACAAACCCGTTCACCGGTCTAACCTCTGATTTTACACTCAAACGTCCTGATCCGGTTCTGACTCCTCAGAGATCACAGGAGGATCACAGCGAGTTTCAGAAGAAGGCACCTGCTTAGTCTCATCACCCACTTGTGGATGAAGAGAAACCAGATGAAAACGTCTCACAGTCCCTTCAGGTGCTTCTACTTCACAAGACCTTGGAGTAGAGAACCTTCGTAATACAACCCTGGGTGTTCAGCGTCGGTCACCCACGCCCGTTCACCTGGAGACGTCTGTTGTAACTGGCTGTTTCCTTCTCCGCAGGGCTTTACCCAAAGGTGTAGCTCTGTAGGGGTCGGTGGTCTTCTTCAGCAGGTGTTTGTCTGTACGCCCCTTTCCGCCTCTCCGTTACTCTGTGGGCTGGTTGTAATGTCTTCAAATCCATGTTTGATGATGAAATCTGAGAGGACTGGAAGACTGAGGTCCGTTATCTGACATTAGGACTTCAGGAATGCCGTGACGGGCGAAAATTGATTTCAGGTGACATCATCTGATCTTGTTCTATTCAACAGGGCGATCTCCACTGAGAGGAGGTAGGTGTTTCCTCTCGGCTCGAACAGATCCGCGCCGACCCTTTGCCAGGGCCGTTCAGGGCCTTCAGTTGGCAGTAGTGGTTCCCGATGATTTTGTCTCTGAGGCGCGTGTTCAGCACCGAGTCCGGACCACAGCATGGTTTGTCGGGCCCACGCTTTGCTCTTCATGATGCCCGGGTGGCCTTCGTTTAGCTTTTCCAACACCTCATTCCGCATCGCTGAGGGAATGCCCAGGCGAGAGTCTTCAGCAGCAGTTCGTCGTTAACTGTGAGCGTAGCACGATCTGGCCAGAAGCGGTGGCTCCTCCTCGACTGCACGTTTCCATTACACGAGCACACACATCGTCCATTTTCTGCTCATCTTTGAGAGTTTGCATGAAAGAAAATGTGACTGGCATTTGTTGTAAAAAGCTGTCCACATATATATCCGTGTCCTCCATCAACTCCGTATCGGACTGGATCGTGTTTTTACCGATGGGAAACGAGACGGCTGCTGTGAGAGAGAGACCTGGGTGCGTAGGTAGACTCTCATCATAAGCAGCGTTGTTAAAAGCAGCTTTTGTAAACTCCAGCTGTTGAGATCTTTTTATCCACTAATGACTTTGAGAAGTTGATCCATGCAGTCATCACCTGTCAGTTGGACTACTGTAACTCTGTATTCTGCTGTTAGCGTTCAGCTATGTCACGCTGCAGATGGTGCCAGGCTTTTAACATTCACTGGAAGGTGAGATCATATCACTCCTGTCCTTGCTGCACTGCACTGGCTTCCTGTTCATGTTAGAATTGATTTTAAGATCCTTTTACTGACAGTAAAAACATTGCATGGCCAGGGTTCACCTTACTTGAAGGCTTTATTGCAGTCTTGTGCTCCCTAAGGGCATTACGATCTACAGCCTAGGGCACAGTGGAGGCAGACGTGCCACGCCCGCATTCAAGTAGAAGCCATTATAGTTAATGAGAGTGGCTACACGGGGAGTGCCGTGCCCCAGATGCGCCGAGGCGCTGAAGATAGGCGCCGGTTCCACCTGAAGCGCCGCGGCAGCACCGCAGCCCTTTACAACATTGCGGAGTACTTTACAGCAGACATTATGATGCGGAACGGCTTTACCGCACAAACCTAGCCACAGGTTTGATACCATTGATCTTAAAACGATCAAATAAATGGCGTACTTCCCCATTTTAATGATTTAGAGTGTCACAAAACACGACGGCAAGTCTGATCACGTATAAACAATAGTCACTTCCTGTTCTCAAGTCCCGCGTGATGTTGGGACTATCGCACAACCTTCCAAGAAGTGCTCAGATTCCAGAATATATGACATAAGACATCAGGTAAGGTTGGGTGAGCACACCAGCTGTCAGAGTAGGGGGATGGGTGAGTCATCCTCCGCCTCTAGCGCACCAGTCTTCATCCCTGCCTCCCCGTCCTGGACATCCCCCTCCCCCGTGATGGGACAGCAGAGGAGCCCAGGTCTACCTGAGGCCGCTGAGCCCGGGCCAGGCACTGTCGTATGTTCCGCCTTCCTCTCGGCAGCATACTTGCAGGACCCGATGTTCACTGTTGATGTTCACTAATCCGGAGCGGGTTTAAACACATCAATAACTTTAAATTTTAGTGTATTTTGTGCCCAAAAGGCTTTTGTGTAATCGTAGTGCTTCCTCCCCTGATGAATATC